ACGGAGGTTCTGTTGAAACCATCAATCTCAAATGATTCAATACCATCAAATATATCAATACAATGTATGCTCTTCTCTTCACTTTTGGCTAGCTTCTCAATAATGTTTGGACACAATCTGCCTCCATATTTCTCCATGCCTTGCCTCTTCAATGTCAATCGTTGCATTAACTTTCTTCTGAAAAATTCAAGAAGAGTCACAATTGGCTCGTCTCTTGCTTTTAAAATGTAGTTGTTGAAACTCTCATTTAGATTGTTGACTGAAATATCAGTCTTAGCAGCCATTCCATAATGTGCTCTAGACCACAAGTGATATGGCAGCCTTTTTAACCAACCAGCAGCAGTAAGGTTCTCTCCATTTTGTGGTTGAGCTATCTCCAAAGTATTCAATGCTCTCTTGAAATCATCACCATTAGTTGCTGATGCAGTAGCCCAAAACAATTCTCTCAGTTCACTGTCTTTGAACTTTGCCTTAAAGTTCTCAAACAGATGCCTAAGGCAAAATCTGTGTTCTGCACCAGGAAATAGCTCCTCTATAGCATGTACTAGTCCTTTTTGCCTATCAGAAATGAAGGTATAAGGCACTACATTGCCCCTTTCAATATGAGTAATCAGTTCCTTCAAAAACCCAGTACAGCTATTATAGTTTTCTGCTTCAACAATGGCAATGACTATGGGAAACATATTGTCATTCCCATCCCTTCCAAATGCTGCTAACAGCTGACCTCCAAAGGGCCCCTTCAAAAAGCAACCATCTAGGCCAATGATTGGTCTACAACCTGCAAGAAAGCCCTTTTTAAGAGCACCCAAACCATAGAACAACCTTTGAAATGTTGTCCTTTCCTCAATAGACCTCCTGTCTATTTGTATAGCTATATGACTGTTTGGATTTAACTGTCTAACCGTGGCAGCATAATCTCACAGCCGTTCATATTGCTCCATATCACAACCTTTGATTGCCTCCCTGGCCTTCCTCTTAGTCCTGTATGCTTTTTTGCTACTTATATTAACCATGAATCTTCTTCTGGCATCATTAATAATGCCATCCAAGCTGCAATTAGGGTCATCTCGAACCTTCTCTTGAAACTTTTTGCTCAGATAAGTTGAGGTTGCATGCTTCTTAGTGTACTCTCTGCCGCAATGGTGCTCTCCCTTTAGTGTTTTGATCTGAAAAGTGTCAGTTCTATTAACTCTGCTTGCATGAATCCTCCAAGATATATAAAACTTCGTATCCCTCTCTAATGTTCCATTCCACAAGTGCTTCTCTAAATTTTGTAAAATGAGTGAATTTCTTCCCAACCTTTAATTCAAAATTTGGCTTGTTAAACTCCACTGAAGCATTGAAATATGAGTAGTCAGGCCCATTTTCATCACCAGAATATAGGAAGTCTTCATCTGCAGTCACAGGTTCATTCCATTCCTCACTGTCAGGGCCAATAGGTTGGTCTCCTCCATGCTGATGCTGTGCTGTGGACTCCTCACCTTGTGGTTGCTGATGTTGTTGCTGCTGCTCATTCAAGTCTTCAGTTTGCTGATGCTGTGCTGTAGACTCCTCACCTTGTGGTTGCTGATGTTGTTGCTGCTGCTCATTCAAGTCACCAATTTGCTGATTTGTTTGAGGTACAGTTGAACCAGCAGTTGCAAAGATGTCCTCATCATCTGCAAATTCTAGGCCCTCTCTCAACCAATCCGGATCAGGTTCTTCGTTTCCATCACTGTGGTGCTGCTGTTCATTGTTGACTTGATTCTTCTCAATAGAGGTTCTGTCAAAGTCACAATGTTGTTCATTGTTGACTTGACTTGATTCTTCTTTACTTTGGTTCACTGAAGAAACCTTTTGCTGGCTGTTGACAGCATCTATTCTGGTTGTTTGCTGAAATAATTTTTTGACAGTTTTTCTAGCTGCTCTCTTCACAGGTTACACCACAGTTTGTCTCTTCCTCGATGGAGTTTTACCACCCTTTCTTCTGTTTTTCTTACTTGGTTTGAAGGGATTTTGTGTGCCATCATTAGTTTCTACAGCAGTTGGGCCATCTAAATCATTTTCTTGCCCTCTTGTATCACCAATATATGGTTCAAAACCAATCAGATCAACAGGATTTTGTGAAGCTCCAGCACCTTTTCTAGTCAGATCTGAATTTAGCTCTGAAGAACCTTCATTGTACGGTAAAGCAAGTGGACCATCATTCGTCACTCTTTCGAATAAGAGCTTGCCATCCGGTGAGACAATTTTGATAGGGGTCTGATCTGCCTCTACATATATATATGCATATAAGGAAGCCCTTCATAACAGGTAGTCAACAATTCTATGTCCACGTCATCATTTATTGGGATAACACCTACATCCACATCATGGTCTGGAATGGAATACCAAAATTTTTCAAATGCCACTTCTTTTTCAATTTTGAAGTACAGGTTCAACAATGAAAATGTTGATAACCCATCAGGGTCGCAATTGTGAAACACTCTTACTAAATCACTTGTATACCTAATATTGGGATGATGTATAAACCGCCCACCATAGTGCATGTAGATATCCACTGTCATAAAAGGATCTGACATGGTCCCCAACTTAAATGATTTAATCAACACTTTCAGAATTCAAATATAGATTAATAAACTATATTAAGCTACATCACACTTTCAGATTATAAGAACAATTAGTTATAACAACAATCAGATTATTAAGTGAAATCTGATTTGTAGTCAAATCCAAATCCGACACATATTATTTCCTCTTGACATCAACCACATACTCCAAAAAAGACCCACATTCTCCAAAAAAAGCTAAAAAAGTTAAGATCTTTACATTTTTAAACCCCATTTTCTCTGATAAATCACCTAAATATGGGCCACCAACTATAAAAATGACAGATATGGGGTAATGTGGAAAAGGAATAAACAAATTGGAAAAGGATTACAAATCCTAAACATTAAATGGACTGAATATTGAACAATAAGTTCTGATTCTTACCTAGAAATGTCGAACAAGCTTCACAATCAGATTTCCTCACCAATCTGTCTTTCCTTTCTTTGCGACCGAATGCAGCTTCACCATCAGATACAACCACCAATCTGTCACTCCCTTCTTCGCGATAGAATGCACCCACGGCTTTTTCAACTCAAATTCACGATATTTCAGCAACAATTTAGTATACAAATCCCTTGTGTTAGGGTTTTTTTTTCTTACATAGGATGAACGAGAAAAGAGTCAGTTGTTCTCTCTCCCTCTCTATTATAAATGAGGGTATTTGGGTATTCGACCTACAGCCGGTAACTCAACCGGTTAAAAAGTCTATTTCCACTTTAGTTATGAAGTTTAGGGCATTTATGTGTATGTTTCTAAACGATAGGGGGTTCCGTGTCTTTTGGGAAAATCATAGGGGGGTTCCGTGTATTTTACCCTTGTTTGATTAGTTGATATTAGTGGCGACTAGCGTGATTGGTCTCATGTTAGAAAAACGTATGATCTAATTTAAACAAACCTTCATAGTGTGTTTGTTGGTTTGGGTTGAATTTTTCTAATTTTTAATGCAATCGCGAATTAAATTTTACGATCGTACTTAGGGTTATTTCTTGGTTAGGAAAATAGTTAACAGTCGTATATTGACTATAGATAAAATAAAGAAAAGTTAGCTGTCAGAACTTATTAATGCTCTAACCAATCTATTAAGGAATAATTAAATTATTCTTGTATTGATGATTAGTTGTGTGGACCGAAAATTACACCTTTAGCTAGAGTCGTATCTTCTGTTGACTTAATTCCTGTTTAATTTTGTGAATTGTTCTTCTCAATTAGTTAATTAGTTGTTCTTAAATTCACCGAAAATCCCCCCATGACTTTTACTCTAAAAAGAGATAACTTTTCCCTAGTCCCTATGAAGACGACCCAACTCATCACTATATGCAAATTTTCATTTTTCTTGAGTAGGTTTTTATTATTGTATAAATTCGACATCTATCAATTTTTTCTTGAAGTGCTAGTATTATTTGCCCTCTTTTTTCTCTTTCATTATTATATTTTTGCAATAGAGGTGTGTTTGCAGAAGTTGTTCTCGTGGTCCACTTGCAATATATGGTGTAGGATAGGTGGCTAATACTATAGCAAATATAGCTGTAATTTGTTATGGCTTGAAAAGATCCATCTGAAGAACTGGTTTGCAACAATGCCGAAAGTATAAATAGAGGTTTCAATTGCACGAGAATGTTGCCCAAATTTCTTATCACAAAAGACCCAAAAAGGAAAACAATTTAATCTATAGAAAATAAAAAACCAACTTAATCTATCCTCAAATGTACTGATGGGAAAGAGTTTTTTTTTTCTTTTTTAATATCATCACAAAAGTTCTGTGTAAATTTTTTTTTTTTTTGAAAAAAAGCTTAATCCTATTGACTACTAAGTTGTAGCGCTTCTCTAGCCTAAAGTTTGGGAATAAATGGTTAGGGTTGAATGGGCGTTCTCAATAGCACCTAGAACCGTAGACAATAACAAACACTTAGATTAAGCAGCAGTGATATGGCACGAATTGGACAAATCTGTATCAAACAATCCACAAAGAGTAATTATGCATTTATTCATAATTTTAGTGTTATGTGTTGAAAAAGTTTCAAACAAAATTTCTACAATTAAATCTTAACAAGTTGCTACTCGAAAAGTGGTAAAAGAAAGCATTTGGATCTCCAAATTCAATATGAGTTTGAATTGGTTCTCACTATTAGAAGTCTTTTCATCTTGTACTGCCATTATAATGGAAATCTGCCCTAACAAATGAACCAAGGTTTCATTATAAATCCATAGATTTGTTAAGGTATTATCATATGATTTGAGAAATCATTGGTAGGAACAAAAGTAAAAAAGTAAAGATAGAAAAAGCACACGTGGATGACATAATACTTGATCCATTTACTAAAACTTTTTTTTTTTTTAGGCTAACCCCTGAAGCGGGGAGGGACGCCACCCCCTTGTATTATTAGCAAACCATACAGGTACAATAAAAAGCCTCAACGACGAGCAACTCTAACCCGAATAACAGGAGTCTTTGATCTATCTAAACCCAAGGCCCCCCTTGCCAGTCTTGGTAAATCTGACTGTGATGTATACAGGACAGTACCCTCTGACCGCGCCCCCATCTTAGCTAGTGCATCTGCCACCTGATTTGCCTCACGATAAATGCGCCACTGTCCATTCCAAACCCTGGATTGCCAGAAACTTCTCGTATTCCGATCGAACTAACCACGGACACCTCGCCTTTTGCAACAAAATGTTGACTAGTACTAGAGAATCCACCTCCACCTGAATCCGTAAGAACCCCCCGAAGGAGGCATTGCTGCACCCCAAACAGCAAAGACTTAAACTTCGCTTGGATACTTGTCAGCTCCCCAAACGGAATAGAAAACCCAAATAACACTGCACCAGATGAATCCCTGAGCACACCACCCCCGCCACTAATGCTGGGTTACCAAGCGAGCAACCATCCGTATTTAGCTTGAGCTCCCCCGATGTTGGAAACTCCCAACACACTAATATATGTGAGTAAAGAGGTCTCCATCCAGCGACATAAGAGTAAAAAACCGACCAAGAACCAAGTCCAATAAACTCCCCTGCATCCTTTCCACCAAACAACCCTACAACATCTGCCAGGATATGAGCCCCAATGGCCTGTTTACCTAGGCACTGTCCTTCAAAAAAAGCAAGATTTTGCGCTAGCCAAATGTGCCAACAGATTATATTTGGCAACATGGTATGTATCGAATCTAGCCGAGAATTCCGCTTAGGTTGACACCACCACCCAGCCAGTCGTGACCGCACCCCTATCCCTCGGTATATTACGCCTGCACCATTCCCAAAAAAATTCCACAAAAACTGAGCTAAGTCCCCATCCGCGAAAATATGTTCCAAAGATTCAGAATGCGAGGCGGAGCAACAAAAGCACTTAGATGGGCCATGCACATGCAACCTCCCTAGCGAAGACGCTAAAGGCAGCCGATCCCTCATTAACCTGACCATGAAAAACGATATCTTGATTGGTATCAAAGGATGCCAAACCTTGTCAAACATGAATGAGGAAGGTGTCTGCCTACTGATTAGCACATAGGAAGAAGCAATCGAAAAATCCCCCCACTCCGTCAGCCCCCATACTGCACTATCATCCGTGGACCCCGTTGGAGCCAATTTGGTAACGATCTCTGTCACAATGTCATTTGGGACCCAACGCCGCAACAACTGTAGATTCCACTGTCCACGCATCATAAAATCAGCTACTGAGTGATCCGAGACACTTTCTAGGCGCTGACACAGAGGACCGGAGCCCAGCCAATTGTCAGACCAGAAATTACATTGACCAGATCGAACCAACCACCAGAGGTTCTGCTCTGCCACCTCACGTACTTGAAGCATGCGACGCCACACATATGAACTGCCCTGTATCGCCCCCACCATACACGGATGACACTGGCGACAATACTTCGCCCGCATAAATGACGACCATAAACAATCACTTATACGGAACCGTCACCATAATTTGAGTGAGAATGCTGCCTGGACCTCCAGTAAAGACCGCACACCTACGCCTCCCTGAGATACATCGGCACACAAATCTTCCCACTTGATCCAATGATGACGAAGGCCACCATCCCTCTCCCCCCAAAGGAAATTAGCCATGGCCCGTTCGGCCAGGGCAAGGACGCCCTTCGGGGGGCATGAAGCCGCAAGCAAGTGTATCGGCACTACTGAAAGAACGTGCTTAATGAGTATGAGACGACCCCCACTGGAGAGGAACCTCGAACGCCATGATGAAATCCGATTAATGATTGATTGCACCAACTCCATGAAATACTGACTCTTCCGCCGACCCACGAAAAGCGGACAACCCAAATACCGCACAGGGAAAGACTTAGGCCCAAACCCCGTTACTCGTCACACCCTCGACACACAGTGGGTGGGCAATTTATCATGAACCAAAAAGCCACACTTTTGGACATTAAGTTCCTGACCCGATATTTGTTCATATCCCCCAATTATCTGCATGACACATCTCAGCGAGGAAGAGCAAGCACTTGAAAACACCAAGACATCATCTGCATAACTAAGATGGGTGATCTTAGGGCAACCTCGTGGAACCGAAAAACACTTGAACCCCCGATGCTCCAATGAAGTGTTCAAAGAACGAGACAGCACCTCCGCACCAATAATAAACAATCCAGGGGACAACGGGTCCCCATGACGTATTCCCCGTGTAGATTTAAAAAAGCCCACACTCGCACCGTTAACCAAGACTGAGAACCAGACATTCGAAATTAATCTCCATATCCTGTCAATCCATTGCTCACCAAAACCAAATTTTCGTAATACCATTGTCAAAAACACCCAGGAAACACGGTCGTAAGCCTTCGACATATCTAACTTTAGGGCAACATCGGCATTTTTGGAAGTCCTACCCATGGTAGAAAGCAATTCCTGTGCAAGTAGGAAATTATCCGATATGAGCCGTCCCCGAACAAAGCCACTTTGTTGTGGGGAGATGATCTTCGGAAGGACGTGGGCCAAACGATCCGCCAAAATTCGCGAGATTATCTTGTTAGCAAAGTTACACAAGCTAATCAAACGGAACTGCGAAAAGTCTTGGGGGTGCCCAACCTTAGGAATGAGAACAATGGATGTTGCGGTAATTGCACGTGGCAATTCAGCCCCACAGAAAAAACTGCATACTGCTCGAACCACATCCTCACCGATAACTGACCAGGCAGCCGTAAAAAATTTACCCGTATATCCATCCGGCCCCGACGCACTCTCCCCATCCATCGTAAACACCGCATCACGAATCTCGTCCGTAGAAGGACACTGCTCCAACAAACCATTGTCCTCATCTGTCAAAATCTTTGGGATATATTGAAGCAAATTAGACGAGGATGATAAATGCTGAGCTGTAAATAGCCTCCCAAAATATCTTTCTGCCTCAGCCCCTATCTCCGACTCCGATTCAATCCACTCCCCTCGGTTATCCCTAATCTTATGAACAATTGACCGTACCGTTCTGTGCCTGACCACAGAATGAAAGAACTTTGTATTGTGGTCTCCCTCCTTAAGCCACCTAACTCGAGCCTTCTGCTTCCAAAACAACTCCTCCACTCTCAAGACAGCACGCAGCCGACCTTGAACAAGATGTAATTGCACCCTAGCAGCTTCCGACCCATCATTTTCCATCCGGATTTCCGCAAGTCTCACCTCCTCTTCATTTTGTCTAACCGCCTGAAAAATATCCCCGAAGACCTCCCGATTCCAAACCTGGATAGCCCCTCTATGCCGCTTCAATTTGCAACAAAGAACTTGCAGAGGTGAGCCAGGACATGACTGCATCCAAGAGTCTCTAACCATAGGCAAAAAATCCTCCCGGCCCGTCCAAAAATTGAGAAACCTGAAAGGCCGATGCTTATTATCCAGCCTAGTGGAGACGGACATGAGGAGCGGAGCATGATCTGAAGATTCTCGGGCTAGATGAGACACCGTGAAAGACACCCCTAAACCCAAGCATCCCTCATTCACCAACACCCGATCCAGCCGCTTCCAAATTCTTGCCCTGCCATGTCTATTATTACACCAAGTAAAACGAGCACCAGAAAAACCTATATCTATTAGATTGGCGTCATTAATAAATTGCTTGAACTCCGTAGCTTCCATAGGATTAAAAGGCCGACCCCCTTCTTCTCCTCAGCATCTAGAATTACATTAAAATCACCATCAACAAGCCATGCATCAGAGCCTGGGTTATCCCGCAATAAACCATCCCAGAGTACACATCTCTCCTCAGGAGTACACCGCGCATGCACAAAAGATACGACAAGATGAGACCCCGGCAGGTGGGTGTGGGATAACCGCACAGACACATGCTGGGGACTTTCTCCAATAACCAAACCAGAAAAAGGTTCTTTGAAGAAAACCCAAACCGAACCCAGCGTATTATGCACCAAACCATGAAAATTTAACTTACATGTATACCGTTCAGCTTTATCAACCTCCAACCAAGGCTCACAGATAGCCAAGAATTGAAGATTGTGCATTTGAATCAACTTTCTAATCCTTCTCAATTTAGGAGCCTTAGAAATGCCGCGAACATTCCAAAATAATCCCTTAATCATTTAATAAAATATGGGAGGAATTCTGCAAATTAAGCAATTTAGAACGCAACTGTCTATCAGATGGAAACTGTGCACGATTACCTTTTTTTGTGGTTCGGTGAAATACCACTGAGCTATCAAGAACTCCAGCCGCAGACACGATCTTCCCCTCCTGTCCATTCAAACGTGGAGACAAACTGCCCACTGAAATTTGAGTCTCCTTGTCACTGTTCAACTCCGCAGGCCTCTGACCTGACGAAAACACCATTCTCTCGCACATCTTCAACAGAAACCTGTGGCAAGACAATCTCCAACCTCCCTTCCAACTCTATGGAACACCCATGACTTCCCCTTATCACCTCTCGATCTGGCCCAGCCAATCCTGTCCCCTCCCCAACACATAACTCCCCCACTGCTGATGGGTTGGTATCCACGGCTGTCCCTCCTACGCCAGTCTCGTCGAACGCACCCTCTCCTCCAACCTGCCCCTCCTCTAAGTGCAAACCCACGGGCTCCTGAATCACCTGGTCTGCCAACCTGTGGATAATTACATCAGCGGCGGCATCAATCCCAGCCTCCACGAGCGCAACCGGATCCCATTCAGACTGCTTTGGGAGAGGCTGCTGCACCGCATCTATAGGCGCCTGCATTCCTGGTTGTCCCTTTTCCACGGATTGAACTAGATCAACAGACGTCCCAGCCTGATTCCCCCGCCCTCCAGAACCTAGCTCCATGGCAGACTCCGTCTCTTGCCGATGCAGAGTCTTAGGCACGCGCAAGTCCGGATGCTTGACATGGCAGTGATCGTCGTCATGGCCTTGACGGTAGCAGTAACTGCAATATTTAGGCAGACTCTCAGGGATCAGCGCCTGCCAAAAACCATCCCCATCTCCCATATCCACCCAGACTCTCGACGGAAGTGTCTTCAACAAATCTACTTCGACGCAAACCCGAGCTACGTTTGGACGAGAAAAGGAAGAGGTCGCCGTGTCCACAAACAGAGGAGTACCCAAACAAGAAGCAATATGAAACAAACATGATTTGGCAAATAGATGAATCGGCAACTTAGGCAACCGAAACCATACAGGCACCAGAGATGATTCTTTATCCACATGGAATTTAGAGGTCCATTTGAAAACTCTCATGGGACGCCCATACACATACCACAGACTTCTAAACCAAACCCGAAGAAAATCTGCTTCACCATGGAATCCCAGCAACACATGCCTGGCATCCAATAATCCGACAGAGATCGTTTCCCTCAAGTCAAGAGTAGAGAAAAATTTACGCAGATCAGGCAGCAAGGGGCGGCCTCTGGAGAATTTCCCAACCAGAGTATAACGAAAAGGAGTCGCCGCCGCAGCTATATCATCCGCCTTGAAAACCACCGCCGGCTCTCCACGATGAGTAGTAAGTGAGGCCTGAATTTCTACACTAGCCGCCGTCGACTGTTGCGCAAACAATTCAGAAAAAGCCTTCTTTCGAAACATGGGGGACGGATGCCCTCCACCCGACGGTGGAGGGGCAGCCTCAGCTGCCATGCCGCCAAAGTGCCAAAACCCTAAACCTTCTAAATAAGGAAAGAAACTAGAGGGATTTCACACGCAAAAGTCTCTAAGGTCTAATCCGAATAACAATCCATGCTTAAACTTATAGCCATGTGAGCTCATTTGGTCTTAAACTTATGAGATTAAAAGTGTTTATGCCCTAAAATCAATTTACTTCTATGGCTTAATGTGCACTTGAAATATTTATGCTATAGTAAATTATATTTTTATCATATTGATTGCTTAAATATATATATTTGTATGACAAATTCATTAAAATAAATCTAATTAATAAAATCATAAAATTATGATAGTAAGGTTCATTCGAATATAGATAAGATTTATTCTTATATATCTCTAGTCAAAATATTAATAAGATTGGCCATTATTAATAAGATTAAACTAGTGTATTAACAAGATAGGCGATTGTTAACAAGATTTATTCTTATATATCTCTAATCAAAATATTAACAAGATAGGTCATTATTAATACGGTTAAACTAGTGTATACTATGCCTCGTCTATAAGGGAAGTGGTAGATATTATCTACTATAGTGTGGGAAATACCTAAATTAGTATATGAGTACTTGAGAAGGTGATTAAATTTGCTAGATTGATCTGCATAGAAATATACTTAAAGTGTCACAAGATTAGTCTCTAAGTGACGTTTGTGTAAATGATCTTTAGATTTTAGGTTATCATAATATTTTGAATATATATAATTATATTTTGTTTGCTATATGATTACTCCTGTAATTGGAAATACTCACATAATTAGCATATCGGCATATACTTGAGAAATGAAAAGGTAGTG